ACTTCTATATCTACTGAGTGCGGGGCATACCTTAAGAGCTATTCAAACTATCTCTCGTATTCAGTAAGCGACATGTTTTCCTGACTAAGTTGTAGAAACTCTAATTCCTTGAAGTCTCTCAAAACTTGTGGGAAGTACTTTGCCATCACTTCTTCCTTAAATTGTTCCCAAGTCAGGTTATGCTGTTGCTCTTTGGTCCTAGTGCGTGAGACAGATTCCCACCATTGATCGGCTGCTCCAATCAACATGAATTCTTCGCATAGTACCTTCTGTGCATCCGTGAAAGAAATATGTCGAAAAATGAGTTCCAAACCTCTAATCTACTCCTCAACAGCCAGTGGGTCAGAATTTCCATCGAAAGTAGGAGGCATGTACCTACGAAACTGCTCAACCATGGAAACAGCTCTAGGGAAAGATAGAGGTGCATTTTGCTGTGGTAGCAATTTTTGTGGTGGAGATACTTGATTCTGTCTAGTAATTATTGCACTGCTTGCAACAAGTCACGCATCAAATTTGTGTGAGTAGGTGGTGTCATTTCCTAAAATTTAACATTAAATCACTCATCATCTATTAGTATTAAGTCTAAGATATTACACTTATTTTATTATGAAACATATCGTAAAGTTGACGAGGAAATAAATATGCCTGTCTTGTAAAATTAAAGACAGACAATTTAAAATATTTAAGTTATGCAAGGTCTAAGTACATTAATCTTCTTACCCTTTTACATACCTCAAAGTCATTGGATGGTGGCCGATCGATGGTCGTTGAGTACCAAAGGTCGTTCTTTTTATTTTTTATTTTTTTAAAGAAGTGATTAATAATATACAAACACAATGGATAAGAGATATGCCTACGGGTTACAACATCCTCTATTAGCATAAAATATTAAATATAATTCAAACAAGCATTGTAACCTTTGATATTATAAATTACAGTTATTATACTGTATTATTATTTTTATTGATTTATTTTTTTGCCTGCTAAAAAATAAGCATCATTATACAATATTCATCCATATAACTGTAATGTAGACTCTTGCCAACATACTCTTTTGCCACATGTATTATATGCAACATATTAGAACACCAAGTTTTGTGTGCAAATACCATAATAATTCTTCTTTTTTTTTAAACATTGTAAGCATTTCCCAATCCTCAATGCCACCCGTTTGAATCCCATTAACTTACGTACCTCCCATTTTATGTAATGCCATTCTTACTCTTGCCATCACTCAACAAGATGGCAAAACTAGGGGCACAGATGTCATTTTATGCATTAATCAATTTAGTAGTCAAACCCTTGCGAACCACATAAGTGTACTGTCAACTATCATTTATATGTGGAGCCTGGTAATGTTTGAAAAAGTTGGAAATTTAATGATTTTTCTTGAGGCAAACGAGGGCTAGATTTCAAGTAATGTGATTTGACTTAAACATTAATCACGATAAGCACTTTATTTAATCATAACCTATGACCATAATTACTTGAAATTTTTTTCACTGCTCACGACGAACAGTGACATGGTACTGTTCATCGTGAACAGTACTGTCGTCATTGTTCACTAACAAATAGTTTTTTTTAATCACATAAAAAAATCATAATGGGTCTATAAAAAAATAAACCTAGGCTATAATACCAAACTGTAACTACCCAAATTTTTGTAATTTAAATTGCTACCAAACATGATATATTTTAAATACATTAACAAATAAAATTTTCCACCAATAAAACAAATCACAGTTTTATACTTAATCCTTAATTAGACATGTTTAAAATTTCAAATTTAAAACTTTTTTGTGAATTTAAAACTAATAAATTCCTAACATAAAAGAACATTTTCTTATTACTCCGGATTATTTTTAGTCTGTCCCATAAGTCCTCGTATCACGACAACACCGCATTGCCCGTCAACCAATGACACGTTCTAACCTGTGAGGATTAGGGAAAAAAGTGAATACATGGATATACTCAGTAGGACATGAAAATAGTGGTGCGATCCCGAATAAAATATTTAGATCATGCTTTAAAAAAAATTATACTGTCATCATATCATTTGAAATTGGTAAGAGCTCATAATATATCATATCTTTGGTACCGGATAGTCGTTTCATATCATATCATAATCATCATATAATTTCATAACTTTCATAAGTATAATAATTTATCAACATGAAAAAATATAATTTAGACGGGACAAAATACTTGCACTTCGTAGTCCTATCTTGATTGATGAAAAGAGTTGTCTTGAAAGAAAGGCAGTAGTTTCACGTTCTAAGACTCCCCCTTATTTGTGCAGTGTGTGGATCTCCCCCTTTTAATCAATTAAAGATATGACAATTTTATTTATTTTTGTATTTTCAACGTGCAATGCTTATTTAGGTAGACAAGTATTTTCTATCTATAATATTTATATAACCTAATAAAGCCACACGTTTTCCCATATTAGTGGCTCAATTTACTAATTTGCCTTTTATTTATACACGTATCCAATTCATTTCAATTCAAATAAGGCAATTGTCAAATTCTTAATCAAGGATAGTTGACATCATGGGAGCAAAAGGTCATGGTTATTGTGTACTATCCCAAGAAAGTTGACTATATATATATATATATACACACACAATTCATTTCAATTCAAATAAGGCAATTGCCAAATTCTCAATCAAGGACGGTTGACATCATGGGAGCAAAAGGTCATGGTTATTGTGTACTATCTCAAGAAAATTGACTATATATATTATCATTCATACAAAAAAAAACACTATTTTATTCCAACCCTATCCAACTACAAGTGTTGCCATTCTTAAAAAACTTAATAATAATTATAAACAATTACTAATAAGTGATAAAGTCTATAAACTTCAATATCTAGAGTCTAACTTATCCAAATTGCCTTTTTCTCGGGAATAATATATATAAATAATTACGAGCTATCCAATAAGCCCAATATTGATATACTTATACTTGTTCTTTCGAAATTTAATTACTTGACTCATATAGGATTATGAATTTATGACACATTTCATTTTAGTCCTCATTTTTTTTAAATATAAATATAACATATAAAACAAATACATTTTTATTCTAATTTTTATATTTTTTTGGGCGTTACATTGGGAGGCTTTGAAGTGATTACTTAGATATTTGAAAAGGACTAGTGATGTAGGTTTAAAGTTTGGTGTTAATAAGAAAGGAGTAAAATCGAAGGAAATTTGTAGTTATGGACTATGCAAGAAATATGGATAATACGAATTCTACTTCCTTCTATGTACTTACATTGTTTAACTCTTGTATCACTTGAAAATCTCAATTACAACTCATAGTTGAACTATCCACGATCAAATCAAAATATATTGTTACTATCAAAGCAATTAAAGAAGTTTTGTGGCTTAGAAGTTTGCTTTATGAACTTTGTGTGGTAAAATGATGTGTGGTTGTATACTCCGATATCAATTTTCTATATATTTTTGCAAAAATCTCAATTTGTACGAACACACCAAACACATTGATATTAAACCACATTTCATTACAGACATTATCTCACAAGAGATGATAAAGTTTGAAAAAGAGCTTTTACAATATATTCCCTTGGACATGGGAACTAAGGTGTTAGTCTTGGTGAAGTTCAGAAGTTGCTTGAATCTTCTAAATATCAGTGGAGGTGAATAATTTTCAATTTTATTGGCTCTCCTTTTGAAGTTGTCACGAATATATGATATTGTTTCTTTTGTAGGTAAAAGTGCTAAGAGAGAGAGAGAGAGAGAGAGAGAACTAAGTTTAGCTTCTTTGTATAAAGGTTCGTTAGCATCAAGATGGAGACTTCTTGGGTATTTTGTTGTCAAACAACCTCATATAGGCAATTATTTTTAAAGTTTAATTTCATAGGCTTCGGTCAAGGATTGAAATAGGTAATTAACACCACAAGGCGAAACCCAAATTAATAGCTCTACTCAAAAAATAAATGGGCCATTTGAAGTCACATTTCAATGCATGGTTACTTATGGCCCATTAAAGGGCTTAACCCATTTACACATTTTTTTGGCCCATTTATGATGTCCCCTAGTTTTGTGTTTATATCTGTTCCCTTTTCATTTCTATGGCAAGAAAGAAGCCAGCCATGTCTTCTTATCTCTGTGTGAGGCGCTATCTTCATTCTCTTAGCAATAAAATAGTCACAAACTAAACTATGTCATTAAATTGATTACCCGTGTCAAAATTCATCAATTTAAAATTTTCAAAATAATGTTTCTTATATGGTACAATTATCATAATCCATCCTGCATGAACATCGAAACAAAATATGCAAAAGAGAAAGAAGATGCTAATCTTTATTATTCGCAGAGCCGGTCTTGCCATGAGGCAAATGAGGTTGGGGCCTCAGGCCCACAATCTAAGGGGGCCTGTTTTTTGCCCAAAGTGTTTCATTTTTTTATTTTTTATTTTTAACAAGTTGCAGAGGCCAAATTGTGGAAGAGAAGCTGAGGAAGAAGATGAATGTTTTGGCCCTTTTATTTGGGCTGATGAGTGATGTTGTGAATAAGGGGCGGAACCAGTCGGAGTTTATAGTGCCGCAGGGTGGAATTTACAGCAGGTGCTGATGGAAGTCGGAGGAAGAAGAAACGACACGATTACACAGGTATAGAATCATGTTTTTGGCCTCTTTATGTTTAGGTTTTGGACCTTTTTTGGGCAATTGGACCTCTTCTATTCTAAATAAAATCAGGCCCAAATCCCAATTATGAATAAGAATAATAACCATTGTGCACTCAACATTCCAATTCAAAAAAATCAATTACAAATTTTGCAAACTCTTGGTTGTTCTTCCCTGTGATTGCAAGGTTGCAATTGCTATTCTGCACGCAACCGAACACTATAGCCAGGCTTCCCAGTTCTCGGTGACTGCTGCGATTGTGGGGGCCCTGTCGTCGGCCTCTCCACTCTCCAACTCTCAGTATCTGTGACGGTAAGTCCCTGTCCCGCTGCATTTTTTTTCTCTCTTATACTAAGCCTATAGAAAGTTGAGTTTTAGGATAAGTTTGTGTTTATTTCCTTTATTTTGTTTTCTTTCAAAATCTAATTGTTGTCATATTTGATTTAATTACTTTCAGAATCCTAATTATGAATAAGAATCTTATTGTTGTCATATTTGTTTTCTTTAGGATAAGTTTGTGTTTATTTCCTTTATTTTGTTTTCTTTCAAAATGTACATCTGCGGCATAGGAAGGTATAAACTGGGTAGGACGCTGGGCGAAGGGTCATTTGTAAAAGTGAAGTTTGCAAGGAATGTTGAGACAAATGAGAATGTGGCCATCAAGATTCTCAATAAAGAAAAAGTTCTTAAGCACAAAATGATTGGCCAGGTACTGTTGGATTAATTATTTTCTTGTTTCTATATCACTTTCAGCTTTTTTTTTCATGGATTTTACTTGATTGGTGTTTGGGTTTTGCTTTAGATTGTGTTTATGTACTGAAGGAGTTTCCGTTGACTTTTGAATTTTATGCACTGATTTTTTTTCCTTACCATTTTATTAATCTGTAGTGTAGAATGATTACTAGTGGTATCTGATTAATGTCTATCAGGGTGTTCTTCCTAAAAGAAACAGAAAACTGAAATGTTTACCAGTGATGTTCTATGTTCGCAATCGCTAATATAATGCATCAAATCGTTTCCTCAAACATTGAAACAAATTTGAGTGGATGATTGAAATTTATTTTGATAGATTGAGCTATCATACATCGATGTACTCATGGATGATGAGGATAAGTGACTGTAAAATATCTTACAGCTACTACATTAAATCTCAATTATAAGCTGATCACAATGGAATGAATTTTCTTAAAGTTTTGTTTCACAAGTCTTTTATTTTGGGCACTTCCCATAGTTGCCTAGGTGTATCTCTGTTCTTATGCTTCTTTATTTCCCTACCTTTGACATATTTAAAACGTTTCTGATTGATCTTAATGTTATTTAACTTGCAGATTAAGCGCGAAATCTCCGCCATGAAATTAATTAGACACCCAAATGTCATCCGCATGTATGAGGTTGGAATTTAACTTGTTTAGCCAACTTCTCGAGGAATAATTAGGCATATAGTGCCGGATGTTCCTGGAGATGTGGATTTTATATGCGTTTCTTGTATATTTAGTTTCCCGACTGATGAATATGGCATAATCTAGGCTATGGCCAACAAAATGAAGATATATATTGTTATGGAATTTGTTACTGGAGGTGAACTCTTTGACAAAATTGTAAGTTTATGATTGCTTTTGCCTTATGATTCCAGTATGATAATCTAATTAGATGTAATTGAACAAAGTGCAAACATGGTATCATTTTTTGAGGCCAAGCTACTAAAGGCGGGCTGAAAGAAGATGAAGCAAGAAAATATTTTCAGCAACTCATCAATGCAGTGGATTACTGCCACAGCAGAGGTGTCGGCCATAGAGACCTGAAGGTGAGGATGTAACTTTATTTTTTAGTTGGTCGCTTCATTTTTTTATAGAAAATTGGAATTGTCGTATTTTTGGGGACAACAAAAGACCGATTTTAATTTCATTTCATGATTTATAGCCAGAGAATTTGTTGCTGGCTGCCAATGGAGTTCTTAAAGTTTCAGACTTTGGATTGAGTGCTCTACCTCAGCAAGCTCGGGTTAGTATTGTACTGCACAAAAACTTGTCATTTTTTGTAATCCACATTCTGTTTTTATTTCCTTTGGTGCATAAGCGTATTTAGACTTTTACATCGAATCAGTATGAGTTATTTTGTAGGTTCTGTACATTTCACCATAGAACATAAAAGTAGGGAGCAAAACTAGATTAACTAAAAAAGGGCGAACTTGCACTGCAGCGTCTTTCTTTTGAGAGTATTTGTGTTATTCAATTAATGTCCCAAAAGGCTTGTGATTTTGACAATTGGTATCTGTCAAAAGCAATTTTGACAATGAATGCTCCTCAAAAGTAAATATACAGACCAAAAACATATAGAACATGGCTAATCCTAATTAATAAGTTAGGGTACCTTTTTGTTGATCATAATCTTCTATTTTTCGATATAGTAACATTAACATAACTAAAGATGCACGAGATTTTTCATGCTTAGATTCTCAATTTGCTCATGTAGGAAGATGGGTTGCTTCACACAACATTTGGAACACCAAGTTATGTTGCTCCTGAGGTATATAATTAGCTTTTGGGGCAAATCCTATACTTTATATTTTCTGAATAATTCTTGAGGTATATAATATAATTAGCTTTTGGTGCAAATCCTATAATTTATATTTTCTGTATAATTCTTCACGCTCACTCTTTTTGGTTAGCTAAATATCCAGGTGATCAACAATAAAGGTTATAATGGAGCTAAGGCAGATCTCTGGTCATGTGGTGTTATCCTTTTCGTCCTTATGGCTGGCTATCTGCCTTTCGAAGGATCAAACCTTATGGCATTATATAAAAAGGTAATTTACATGTCCTCATTTTCCAGTTCGTCATCTGCGCAATAGTTTTACATGGATTTTCCACCAGGCTGGTGAAACATTGAGAGAATTATATTTCTATGTACTATGTGCTTTTGTCCACCAAGTTCGGGTTAATTGTTCCAATGGGCTACCAATTCTTATTATGAATTTATGACTGTATGAGAGAAGAAAGTAGAATATTAATGTATAGAACTTAGTTGGATCCTCGTGTATTAATGTATCTATAAAATAATCAAATATTGGTCTTGATGCTGTTCGCGAAATTATTTCTTTCGATTTTAAACTACCGCAAGTGTATGGCTCGTTAACAAGTAATAAAGTGGATTAAATGAGTCCGAATATCGTCTCATAGAGATTGATTAGTTCAATTTTACCTATCGTCGTCTTAACCGAAACAATAGAAATTCTTGATATTTTCGTTAACTAAATTATGATTTAATAACCTACTTATAAATATAAAGCCTAAATTAGATTAAATGCGTGATTATAACTAAATGCAAGTTTATAAAAATATAATGATGAAATGCGTACTAGGATCCCGAATCCCCTTATATCAATCCCCTTTAATTTGAATTTTATAAAATTGACAACACGATTCAATTATGAAGATCAATATTCCTAATTTGTTTAACAATCTCTCTCGAGTAGAATTAAACCTATTTTCACATACGATCCGATTATATTTCTATGATGGATGCGAACATATAAAAATGCATTAAAGATTTATGAATACTTAAAGATCACGTAAAGCATAGCGGTATATTTCTATCCCCTATCGAACTTTACGACAATTAACATAATGTCTAACTTATTTTCTATCTCTCGAGGGTAAAACAAGCCACAAAACTCATACAACTATTGCACACATAATTGTAGAGAAAATAAAATACATGCCAATCATTCAATAATTAAAAACATATTTTAACGTCAAATTAATAAAATTCAAGATTAAGGGTTCATAATATAAGATTCATCACAAATCCTAGCATATGAAAATCTAGCCGAACATAATGGGAAATAAAGAGAAAAAATAATCAAAACCAAGGAAGAACATCACCCAATTGATTATTGAAGTGAAATATTGAATCTTGAAGTGGATTGTCTTGTTTTTGCCTTGTTCTTCCTCTCCAAATCCTCCAAAATTGTGTATATTCCCCCTCTTTTTCTATAAAAGTGGCGTCCGGTATTTATTGGAGGCGGAATTAGGTCAAAGAAGTATCCCAAAACCTTACTAAATCGTGTTTGAGTCGAATAAAGAAACTTGAGATTTCGTCACATTTTTATACCATGCCACCACATGGTATAAAGCCATGCTACCGCATGGTTCAGAAGTTTCAGCCCAGATTTTTCTTGTACTGTCTTGTGCGACCGCAAGGAATTATAACCATGCGACCGCATGGTTATAGAAATTTTTTTGTCGGACAGCTTTCAATATTTTGATCATAACTTTCTCTCTCAATCTCCGATTGAAGTGATTCAAAGTGCATTGGGAAGAAAACTAAAAGATCTACACTTTTGATAGAAATAGGCTTCCTCAAATTCCGATTTTTACTATACCAAAAATGGATCTCAAGTAGAGACTAAAAATCACAAGTATAACTTTTTCGCCTGAAAGTTGATACTTGATAATACTCCGATCATATTTCACCTCTTGACTCCTTTCCTCATCTGATTGACATCTAACACTCTTGAATCTTCATTCCATTTCTCGTCTCATCTATGGATTATTTGCAACTTGGTCCCCGAACGATCACTTTGCTCCATTTTAGTCTTTTTTCGGCTCTTTTCTTCTCAATTTCACCATATTCATCGGTGTTCCCTACAATTCACAAATATAACGAGATTAAGTCATAATTCAATCATTTTACTCATTATTAAGTCATGTTTGTGACCTAAATAAGTGTGCAAAAACATACTTATCAGATGCAATAACAAATTTCAAGTATAAAACGGTTTTGTCATCTTGTGGCAACCAAACTGTCAATCTTGAGGCCTTTCCCCTATTCCCCAAGGTGCTGTTGGAATTTGGACCTTTCATTTCAGATTGTTGTTTTCCTTTACTTGGTGCTCTTGTTCAATCTTGTGTTGTATGAAGACTTTATGCACATGGTTGGTGCCATAGATATTTTATGTTTGTTGTTTTTGTGAGATATGCCAGTAGTAAGGTGAACAATATCAACTAGAATGAATTTTGTCTATGTTTTAGTTTGGTTTGGCTTCCACTTTTTGATTTTGGTTTTGTATGGGTGGTTGATGCTAAATTTTTATTTCAGGCTTGTAAATTGTAACGGTAGGATTCTCAACGGCATGATTCCATCATTCTCGTCAAAATTCTGCTTCTCAAGTAAGCAATGACTTACCTAACTTGTTGTTAAATATATTGAAAATGTTTGAAACCTTATCGGCTTATATAATTGTGGCCTAATCGACTTATATGATTGGTTGTTGTAGGATCAATTTCACAGGTGCACATAGTAACTATATTGAAAACTTTAATTGTAAAATGATTGAGATATTTTGTGAAAAGAAGTTTCTCCAAATTGAAGTTGATCAAAACTTACCTCCGATCAATTATGTCACAAGAAAGATTGAACGGATTAACTATGTTGTTAATAGAGAAAGAAATGGTTGAACAACTAAATTGCATCTAAAACAGCAAGACAAATATTATTTAAATGATTGTTTGAAACGTTGTTAGTTTTGTTATTTTACAATATAATTTTTTTGTACAATATTTTTTTTTTTGTTTTACTGTTACGTTTTAAGTTAGCAATATGTTGCATAATACACAATAAGTGTTGTTGAATTTCGCATTTAAGTTGATTTTTGGGGGGCCTAATTTTGGAGCTTGCCTCAGGCCCCAAAAACCACAGGACGAGCCCTGATTATTCGGTTATATAATGATCTGAGTCATATTGAGTGCTGCATACCATACTTGCTGTTAAGGTTTGGGGATTCAGGGTTTAAGACTCGAAAGTAACATTGAGTTGCAAGTTGCAACGTGGTAAAACAAGATATAAATCCTTGCTCGAGATACTTTGATTTTATCTTGCTACTTTTAGCTAAGGAAAAGAAAAAATTTGTTTAGAATAGCAAGCAGGAACTTTATCAATTACCCAAAAATTAATCAAGACCAATTTTCCAGTTGCAGTGTTGTATCCCTTCAACTTGACTGCTTGCTGCAGAATTAGTGCAATCAAAGGATGAAAACGAAGAGTTTCCTTGATCACAGCTTTCATATAATGCACCGTAAAACCCAATAACCCGGTCCTGACTCGCCCCAGAAAAACTGTAAAGGATGTCTTTCTTGATGAACCTTTCAAGACTTACATTGCTCACATGAAGCCCCTTGGCATGTTAGACGCTGAACACTGGGCCTTAAGAAACACTTTTAGATCTCAATCTATGAATAGATGGATCAAATTTCAGTGTGTAAATGGCATAAGAATTATCAAGAATGCACTACTCAGTAATCGATCACAAAAGTAAATAAATGAATTGAGTTACTTAAATTCTTTTTCGCCGTTCATTATAAAACACTCCTAGATTGATACAATTGAAAACTTCTTTAAAAACATAATGTGACCTGACATTTAGTGTAATAAATTTAAAGGGAAAATGAATATATGATGCTTGAAGTATAATAACTCTTACTTTGTCTCTCCATCTCCAATATTGAAAGAATTCATGGAATCAAGTGTAACTGTTAATGCAATATACGAGTGTGAAATTTATCCTTGATGATTACCCTTGGATGAACACAAATTTCTAGCTATCGTTTCCAAAGTTCTCTTGCTCCTCTTGTATTTGCTTCACTAAAGTTACAACAAAATGGCAGCAGTCAATCAACTCAATAATATTTAGTGTGGGTATTTCCCCAATACCAGAAGGAACATCCTTAAGTTTGAAGCACTCCTTTAGAATTAGGCGCTGAAGCCTTGGGAAGTGAGTACAATCAGCTATCCATTGCTCCAAGTCTGTCTTTTCAATCAGAAGAAATTTGAGTTTACAAAATTCCCCTTCGGTTGGTTCCCACTAAGGACCTTGGAAGGCATAATTTTGCAGTTTGAGCACTTCAAGATTCGGCAACGAACCTACAATTGTCATATCTTCCCATGGAATTCTACAACCACTTAAAGTCAAGCTCTTAAGCTTAGGAGGGAAAGCAAGCTTTGGAGGAGAAATATATCTATTAGGAGGATCATTCACGAGGAATTTCAACAATTCTAGATGATGTATATGTTGGGGAAATTTACACTGATTACGTGCATATTATATTCACAAAAGCATAAGAGTTATTTGCGTGAAATCAAAATGTAATTTCGACTTACAGGAATAGGATCTGAGAAGCAAAACATAAAAAGTTACCGAATCTGAATGCATAGATATGGATTCATCACTTTTGATTCTTGAACAAAAGTAAATTATTCTTTTGATCGAACCTTGCAACATAAACATGTAAACAATGTTAACCATTTCCCGAAATCAAAATATAATCAAAAGAAATCAGAAAACTGTAGGAAGAAAATTGCAAGTGATGAATTTTTGGTCGAGACAAGTGTTTGACACTTGGTCCTGAAGATGAATTTGCCCCGCACTGGTGCTAATGGTTTTTCGACAATCATCTCCCAAGATACAACGACCACATCAAGCCATAGGAGCACTCCAAATGGCTTCGACCAACGAACTCAAACAGAATTCCCTCTCTACCAAAGAAATTCATGAAAATGCTGTGGAATTAGAAAGGAGAGAATTCCAAGAGGAGAAGGAATGCTCAATGCAATTGGTGTACCCAAAATCATGTTCATAGGGTTTTATTTATAGATGTAGAAAGGGTGCAAATGAAGTAGTGTGGGTCAAAACATGCATCCTTTAAAAAATTTGCAACACTTGGCCAAAATCTGCATCCTTTCAAAAAGTTGCAACACTTTATTTCTTCCAGCTTTGATCCGCGATTTCTCATTCATCCAGAATTGGTTTCGAGATTCCAAATATACCACGACGAACTACACTACGAGTAAAATAAGTTGGTCTATTTACTTTTGTAATTTGATCATCGGATCAAATCCGAATATTTGGTCGGAGTTGACACGTAGTCACACCTTTTCATTTTCCAATTTTTGGTTAATTATTTGAAACAATTCCAACAATCCCCCACATGAATGAAAATTGGCTACGCATATGCAAATGCAATGATATGATGCAATGTAGAGAGGGTGCGAAAAAATACTGCATTAAGGAAGGTAGCTTCTGGCCTTGAACATCCTTTAATGAAATAGCATCGGACTTACTCAGCTAATTGGTGAACGTGATATCTTGAATCATTCAACCTTTAGTGTAAGCCAAGACAACGATACTCACACAATGTCTTCCCTAAACCGTTTATAATTCTCATGACTTGGTTCATTTTGGCTCTGAACCCTTCTTGGTTCTGCGAGTGTTTAGAGAATTTAAGCCTTGAATAATTCTCAATGAAGCAGCCACACTTCACACTCACATAGGTAACCTCCTATTAAGAGTATTCTGTCCTACTCCACTTGACTTAATTAAGATATAGGAATCATTAAAAGATTATCTTAACTTCTTACAACTCTGCAGAAAGCACTTTAATATCATAGGAATGAGTTAGGAAATTATTTTTCTAAGTGCTTCATGGAATCCTCATAACTTAGTTGTTCCTTTGAACCAAGATCTTGGGATCTCCAGTCAACAAGGTAGGGTTACCATTACAAGGATTCTAACGTAGTAGACTTTACCTCATTCCCTTTGATATGCAGTATTCTTGATCCTTCTTAGTAAATCTCTTTAAAGGTACCACGAGTTTACACCATTGAGATCAACTACTTAATGGTATTATGTCTATGACTTATACATCTAGACCTACCATTACATGTGACTTAGTATCTTATCAAATATTACTAGCCAATGATTGATTCAGTTGATAGATACAAATTGTCGCCACCAAGAAATCCTCGAAAGCCTTATCAATTTCCAAATACGGTTGGAGGATTTCTATCAAACACTACACTAGTCAATCACTTTTACTAGTGGATTTCAGAATCATGGGTATTCAATATTATCATTGAAACATTACCATGCATTTGAATTTTATGAATATTCTTCAAATATTCCAATTGTTCTTGCATGTCCAAACAATTGCCACAATTGGCTTTCACCCATTTAATCCACATTAGACTTAGTGTATATCATCCTTATAATTAGTATAAGGGTTTTCTATTTTTCCACCTTCATAGATATATTTATATGATTATAAGATAAAAGCAAATGTAACTGTTAAACTAAGTTACCCCCACAATTCCTCAATTAGGAATACAAATATAATTTAGTAATATTGCATCCACAAAATGAGTATTAAGTTTAACCCCCACATTCTTGGATTATACTTGAACTTAGAGTTCATCAACTCTTTCATAGTTCAATTCATAATATCTGTATCGAGTGCTTTGTGAAAGTGTAAGTACTTTCAAAATAGTGGTTGTTGACTCACAATTTATTTCAATTAAAGTTGCAAATAACGTACTTCAATCCAATTATTTTAATTTGATCATTCAAATTAAATCAAGTCCATCATATATACTAGCAATGCTTTCAAAACATATACAAACTTAATTGGTTTCATGATTGAAGTCAAATTCAACAATAAAGAGGGCTAAGCATTGCAACTTTTTTAAACATATGCAACTTATCACATTTATGACATTTCACATGATAGTTTCATTTCAACCATCGGTTGAAAAATTGTGTTCTCAAAAGACACAATCCTATAAAAGGACACACCTCTTGGAGTAATCTCTATGAAAAGACATACCCATTGGAAAATAACTATATCAAAAGTTATGGTTTTTCATATGAAAGGACGTACCTTTTCGTCTAAATTGATCCTAAAATATTTCATAATATTCTACACAGTTTTCTACAATTTCAAATAATTAAGTGGCTTAATTCTCATTACTAAATAATGATATCCACTTAAATCATCTCACTTAATTTTATCAAATTAATTGAGGCTATCATTATAGTCAAAGTTAGTATAATTTTAATAAGATCTGAAATTTTAACCAACTAATTTATCATGCCATTATCATATTCCAATCAAAGGAGTCATCATGAAAGTTCATATATTTTCATCAAATAATTGACATCCTTATATGTCCAATGGTTAGGAATAATTTCCTTATTTCCATGCATTCATTATTGGTCTCAAGTTGGTTTTAACAATATCCAATTCATCATGAGCAAAGTGTAGGAATAGCAACATATATTCCAAATATTTATATATTCATTTGTATAAGTTTATTCTATAAAATGTCTCATGGAGGAGGTCCACGCATTTCCAT